TGCGCTTGGCGTAATCTGTTGAAATCTCAATGCAAAACTAAAATCCATTATGTTAAATTTGGCATTTAAGATACTAATATCGCAACACTGTTAGACATGTAGTTGCAAGCGCAAAGCATTTCTCTATATTTTCCTTCAAAGAGCTGTGTCTTGAAAACTATTTTTATTAATATTTTTCTGAATCCAGTATGTAGTGCTTCTTTCGCAAAACGATTTTCACATCTAAAATTTCGACACTAGGTAAATCGAATATAGCAAATTTGCTAATGCGAAAGTAGCAAAAATGGTGCTACAGAATGCTATTCTCGCATACTTTTCATTCACTTGCCATTTGTTTACGAATTTTATTGTGAAACTCTATTGTGAAAGTTTTCGAAAATATAAAACTAAACAGTGTAAGTGTTTAATTTTTTTTGCTATATTAATTTTTTTAAAAATTTGCATTTCAAATTTAGTGCATTTAACTAAATTGTTATAATTAATAATTAGAATTACAGGTCAACATAAATTACAAAACTGTCCCGGTTAAGGATAATGGTTAAATTCATGCATTAATTCAAATTTGTATAATAAGTGAAATGGTTTGCTGAGCAAGAGTAATATTTAAATCTTAACCTAAATCTAATGTATATTTACAATTTTTAAACGATTTAAAGTTGGTGATGCTTGAGAGTAGCGCCAGTCAACAAAGGGTTAAATCAGATTTTTGTTTTTCTCTGGCAAAAACCTGTAAATTTTAAATTCCAAAATTATCTGTACATTACAGATAATTTTGGAAAATTATCTGTAATGTTTTGAAGTTGTATATGTTGTCACGGGGTGTTATACTTGTTTTTTTAAGATGGTCATATAGATAAGCAACAATATCTAGACATTTTAAAAACGAACCTGGTAAACAAAGTCGAAAAATGTGGTTTTGTTGGTTATTATAAATTCTATTGGTATAACCGCTTGCAGCATAAATCTTATTTGGTAAGAAGCTGTTTGCTTCATAACTGCCCAAAAGTGTTCGAAACACTCCCCCAAAGTCTAGACCTTAATCCAATTGAGAATTTTTGGGCCCACTTGAAGTAAAGTGTGGCGAAAAGTATACTAAAATACAAAAGTGACCTTATAAAACATATTATAGAAGAATTGTCCAAAATTTCGGATTAAATTGATATGGAAAAATTGATTAGTTCTATGAAACGATGACTTTGGGCTGTTCCAAATCTACGGGCTACCACGAAAAGTATTATATTTAACAATTGTAGCTGCATTTTATTTTTTTGCGTAATATTAGATTAAAAAATCTAATTTTGAAAAGACTTTATTTACATTGTAATTTTTCGAACTTCTTCGTTTTTGTCCCTTTTCTTTTGTGGTTTCCTCATTAGAAAAATTATTTTAACGCAATTATGTTCCATAAAGGATTAATAAACTGACATTTTCAAAAAAAAATCAAAATCAATGCATGCATGCAACTTATTAAAGACTGAAAGTAAATTTTTTAAAATTTTTTCATTTTGAAAAGACTTTCTTTACATTTTGTATAAATACATTAACAAAATATTTCAATTTGAGTAATCGTTTAGAATATTATATTTAGAATATTTAGTTCCTGTACATATGGAATATAAATAAAATGAAAACAAAAAAATAAATTTGTACGATTTTGAAAAATAATTTTTTAAAATTGATCGCACGATAACTCAAGAAGGAATAATACAATCGACACCAAACTTTTACAAGTTGTTTCTTTTCTGCCAACAACGGCTACTATTGTAATTGGTCTAATTCGGACAACGGATTCGGGTAGCTGCCATACAACTCAAAGAGGTTTTTCTAAATATTTTAATAAATGGTTTGGTCATACAACTCCGAAAGTTATTTTTAAATATTTGTGCAAAATAATAAAGTTAGATTCATGAAACTCGGCAATCATGTGTCCAATTATAGACCCTAAAAGCTAATTTTAAATATTTGGAAAAATAATAATCAGATTCATGAAACTTGGCAGTCATGTGTCCAATTTTAGATCAGATATATCCTTGGAGTTTTGCTAAAATAGCTTGACAAGTTCGAATAGTTGTCATGGAACTCCAAAAGCTAATTTAAAATATTCAAGAAAATAATAAAGATAAAATTATGAAACTTGACAGTTGTGTGTCTAATTATAGGTCAGACATATCGGTGAAATTGGTCAGACATATCGGTGGTTTCACAGGTTCGAGTTATTGGTACGCAGCAATGAAAGCTAATTTTAGATATTTAAAAAACAAATTTTTAGGCTCAGATTGTCTAGGTGCAAGGTATAATTCGGTCGGTTTATACTGACTAAAACGTTTTCACTCATTACAATTACATACCCCAAAATTTCATTGCTGTGAATATAAATTATCATTTTTCTGTTCACTTTCCATTTTTATACCCGTACGAACGTATGTTCGAGGGGTATACTAAATTTGCCTTACCGTTTGTAATGCTAAGAAATAATGTTCTGAGATATAGACTCAAGTGTATGTTTTTGATCAGCGTCGAATTCTGGGTTGACTTGTCTGTCCGTCCGTCCCAGCGACAACTCAAAAACTAATTGAACTCACCAAATTTTCACAAACAATTAATTGTAGTAAGTGCCAGAACCCTATTTAAATTGGACATGACCGGGGTACCGGTTCGGCTAGCTGCCATATAACATCAAAATTTATTCCTTTTTTTTTTAATTTTTAGGGCATTAGTAAGCTTATACTTAACGTACCTAGAAAAATGTAAATTTGGCTCTTAGTAGAGTTTTGCTTTGTGCTACCGAATTCCCAGAAATGCTCGCCGGTTAGTTTTTGTAACAACCCGAACTCAAATATCAAATTTCAAGAAATTCCATCAATCCGTTCCGTAGATATTGTAAAAAATGTAAAATCGGCCCTCAGATCAGTTTCCGAGCCCTGATCTTTCCACAAAATTTATATGTTCACTGCCTTAATCGGTTGATTATTCCTCTTTATGAAATCGGTTGATTATTTCTCTTTATATACACAAAAATGTATATTTGACTAGTATACCCAAAATAAAAAGTATGTAAAATCAACTAAAAGTTCCATTCTTTCAATGGGAAAATCCGTAGTTTTTGATCCAACGCACTTTTTCGTTGAAAAAGGTCCGTAGTTAGTTGTTTTCTTCCGTTGCTTATCGCCAGATATTTTACGAAAAATTTTGCGATGTTAAAGGAATATTCCGGTTCAAACTACGGAGCACGTTTTGTTGTTTTGAAAAAAAATATATGTTGTTTTAACAGTATTTTCTGTTGTACAGAAAAATTTTTAACGGAATAATTTGCTGCAACAACGGACAGTATGCTGTTAAGCCTTCTTTTTTTAACAAACTGGGTTCCGTTAATCTAAAATATTTTTACAAATATTTCCATTGTTTTGAAAGAAATTGTTTTTCAAGACTACGGAAAATGTTTTGTTGATTTAAAGAAACAGTTGTGGTTTCAACGGAATTTTCTGTTGCAGTGAGGGAAATTTTACTGTTGAATTTTAGTTTTTTAACGAACTAGATTCCTTTAACCCAAAAGATATTTACGGATATTCCCATTGTATTAAAGGAACTTATTATTGGAAAATCCGTTTCCGTAAAGGATTATTTGTGGTTGAAAAGTACAGTTCAAAGAACTATATTTTGTTGAATTTCAGAATGTTGCTTTTTAATTGAATTTGCACTCTTTGCCTTGATGGACACTTTTAATATAAGACATATGGCCACATAAAACACTTGTTTACAAACATAAGTTGTTTTAGTAGTTTTTGTTTTTTCATTTTATATTTTCATATTATAACTGAATGAAAAACCTTTAGTTTGTATTTTTAAATAATAAAATTTGTTCTCAATATTTACTAAGATTTATTGAATATTTTTTTCTGAATCACCTTTCGTATATAAAAACTTTTTAAGATTTTCTATATTTGGATTTTTTTATCACGACCAATGTCTACTCCAAAAAAAAAGGTTTCAATAAATATCCACATATTTCAGCAATAGTTGGGATAGTCAGTGTTGAATATTTATATATAAAACGATTTGAATAAAATGTTTAGCGCTTTCACAAAATTTTCAACTTCATATATTATGTTATATATACAAACATATTATTTAGATGAATCCCAGACATCATTTCCTAAGCATAGAATGCAAGGCTGAATCATTTCTTTACTAATAATATGTGCATTGAGTTGTCCATTTATAAATTTGAAAAATGAATTGATCGAGTCGTCTATTGAAGCCTTTCTTATTAACTTAGAACTTCTTACAACTGTCGGTTTCAATACATAATGTATCAGGTATATTAAATAAGCATCCTTTGTTGCTGTAAAAAAAATAAAAGAGATTTATTCCGGTTTAGAATTACTGATTGTTTTAAAATTTTATGGAAAAATGTAAATTGTGTAGCAAAATAACAATGATGTAATTATAAATGCAATATATTTCATAGACTTACATTTTGTTGTGTCCCTTGTGTCGGTTCTTGTTTCTAACTCCTTCTTATATTTGAGTGATATATTTTCATGAAAATTCCCCAATTTAAATAAAATTTTTTGTCGCCTTCTGTCCAAAAATAATGGAAATCTATAGTTTTCTATAAAAAGAGAGTAACGTTTATTTGTGATTTAAATATTTTTATTTTTTTTCCAGTTTCAGTCCTTTGCAAGTTTTTAACGTTGGCCGTTCATTTATTATTTCACGAATATTCTCACAATTTTTTTTTATCTTGTTTTCTATACGAAATGGATCATTCCCATTTTTTAATAATTGATATATCACCTGAATTGTATTTTAGCCACGCTTTTATTTCTCGTGCTTCTGTCTCTGTAATGAAAGTTTTTTATAGTTCAAATTTTACATTCTACTGTACCATTTATTTCTGCTTCTATATTTTTATCTAAACTCAATTAAACACAATAATCCGATTTAATTTTAACTCAAGGAGGTCCTTCTTTTGTTGCACAATCTGTAAGGAAATTTACCTGTTGATTTGTTACTTGTTTCTTTGCTATACCACGCATTCTAAAACAATATAAAAATATACGCGCCGAACTTTCATTTGACTTTTCTTATTTCTGTTTTTCCTTGCTTTATTTCCCCGGGTAAATTTTCCTCAATTTGTGTGCAATGTAGAGTATAACTTCAATATACAAACGTGGTAGGTTAATTTTCCTATCAAAATAATATATAATCCTTGAGAAATGTAATTTCTATCACTTTCAGTTAAAAGACTACTTTCAGTCTTACCTTTTATTTTGTCGAACTTTGGAGTCATTTCACATCTAAAAAATCTTAAAAATTAAAAATAAATTTAAATGAATTTTTAAATGCTTAAAAAAAATCAATTAAATTTAGGAAATATTTTTTTGAATATATGCAATCATGTGTAAATAAAAATGCTTCTTACACATAAATTTTGTGATTCTTCAGTTCAAATTTGAAGTAGATGTTGCATCACTAATTTTAAAAGAGCGTCCAGATTTTAAGGATGGTGTTCATGTTTCCATTCATAGAGTTTGTGGCTGAATTCAATTCTACGACCAAGTAAAAAAAGCAAATTAAATAACTTTGTCTTACTTCTACGTGAAATATATTTGATAAAAGACAAATCGCTGCAAATTTCACTTAGAGTTTGCAATAAATCTTCACATTCTATGTCAATTATATCAGATTCTGGTATTGCATCATCTTCTTCTACGTAGCTGTTCCTGTATTTGCTTCAATAAACTTCATAATTGAATAATTTAATTGAATTTTTATATGAAATTAAAAAATATTAATAAATTAATATTATTGTGAATTCTTCTCATATGTTTACGAAAGCTGGAAATATATAAAAACTCCTGTTTACAATCCAAACATATCCATGATATGTACTTTCCATATTGCGTTTATGTTATTGTATTAAATTTTCAAAGTATAATTTGATTTCAAAAAAATTTTTCAGGCACTTAAAGCAATTTATCATTTAACTAAGAAAACTTAAATTGGTAAGTGAGTTAATTTATAGAACAATAGATTTTTTTGTAATAACCGATATATGAAATTATTCAAGTCTCTTCAAGAAATTTCTAAGAATTGTGCATATAACTTACGAAAATAATATATCTGCAGTCTTGTTTCGCAATGAATTCTTTTCTTTGATTATTCACAATTAATATTTTATGTTTATTAATCAAATAATTATTAAGTTTTCTTCTAAATATTCTAATTTTTTTTAATTTTAATTGGCGTGTTCTTTTTTAATTTTACCTTTTTTTATATGTACATACATACATACATATTTAAAAAAAAAAATCTTCCGCACAAAAATTTAACTACTTCTTCACTACAAATTAAAACTTGTTTTAACTTGAAAAATATTGCACACATTGAATAAACTTGAAAAATAGCGGTACTTTAATTTTGACAAAAAACTTTAAAGGAATACTTTGTAAATTTAACAAAAAAATTTGCTTAAAATTTCGTAGCAGAGGAATATTCCGTAAATTTGGACAAAAGTATTCCTTTGAAAAATTGTATTGACGAAATCGTTTCCGTTAAATAAACGAAAATACTTACGCTTCAAAGGAATTAGTTATTTAATTGTGATTATTTCTTATAATATCGGCGCCACAAATATTAAAATCTCTTTTTAGTTTCTAATACGTAACCTAGAATATGAAACCTTTCTTATTAATATGATACTTATCAACAAAATTTTTAATTAAATAGAAAATTACATCTAACAAAAAAAGTTAATTATTATTTTAATAACTTTAAAAGTTTTAACAGAACTGCTTAATAATATTTTTTTACAAATGAAATATTACAATTTATATACATATTTAAAATGTACACATTTACGTGCGGTAATTTAATCATATCGTCAACTAAAACAAATGTCAATAAATAATAAGAATTCGCCACATTATAAAAAACTTTTGCAAGGGTTTTTCTATTGTATTCTTTTGAGATTCTTTTACTAAAAAGTGATACCTTTTAGTTATGAGTTCTGATTTTGAAACAATATGAATATAGAAAACATGTAAATTTTAACATGAGGGAAAACATAACTTAAACTGTCGCAAATATTGCTAGTAAATCGTACATGTACAAATTTTCAACACATATTATTCTCATACAAAAGATTTGTAAAATATTACTGCAATTTAAAATCTTGTTTCGAAATTGATTTTAACAGAAAGGCTAAGCAGCTCTAAAAATTATTGTTCTAGAACAAGACTTTTAACACTAATTATATTTATAATAGAATAATGTTTATTTTAACAGTATTGAATAAATAAATTTGAAAATGCTCATTCGTGAAGAAGTAACATTAAGTTACATGTTTCGCCAGTGCATATGAAACTAAAAAATTAAAAAATTCATAAATATCGCGTGATTTGAGAAACCGTTATCTTTTAAAAGATTTTTTTTGTTATTTTGACTGGAAATTTTGTTGTCTTATTGAAACTTTTCCATTTCTAGGATTTTAAAGGAAAAAGTTTCGTTACCATTAGCGAATATGTCCTTTACATAAAAATAAGTCCGTAAAATTAATAACCGGTTTTTACTTCAAACGACATTTTAAATAATATTTTCTTTATGAACTATAAAATATTTCTTTACTGAACTTCCTAAAAAATTTGGAACCGCTATTCTTCAGATTCCTGAAAAAACCGACTTATAGAGTCTTGAAAAAAATGGTTTACGAATAAAATGTGAATTTGGATATGAAATCACGTTTTTTTTTAATTTGTACAAAATTTAACTAATGCCCGAGTTATATAACATGTACGTACATAAGAACATTTAATTTAAAAAACATCCATGTTAATATCGCCTAATTTATCAGTGAAGAGACATCAGTGAACCAGTCAATACGCTTTTTAAATTTATTGATAATCCATCTGACATATATGTATGATATGATAAAAAAACAAAATTAACAATTAAAATCAAAAATTAGCACTTTGTGGCTAAACAAAAATTTTTGCCTGAATTCTAAATAAATCTACATATGTATGAAAAAGCTGTATAATATTGTTCTCAGATCTTTTCATAAACATTCAATATCTAAATGAATGTGAAAATATTTGAATTTTTGTAAAAATTTTTCTTTTCGAAATAAATTTGGAACGGGATAGAAAATCTAAAATGTAAAAAACTTGAAAATATTTTTACGTCATTAGAAAATTGGAGTCGTTTAAGTTCTTGATACAATTTGAAAAACTTTAGTTCTTGTTTATTTAAGAAATTTCAATTAGTGAAAAATAATTATTCACAAGCTTATTTAATTAAGTCATTATGCAAATATAATATGAATAATATGTTAAATGAAATAAAATATTAATAAGAGTTCAATTTAACAAAAAGATGCAACAAAAAAACATTTCAACATATTTAACAGCTTTAACTTTGTTATTTACCTTTAACTTTTTAAAGGATTTCTTCTATTGATTTAGTTGTATTAAATGAAAACAACAGTCAAAAAATACATTTTATAGTTTTTGATTGATTTATACTTTTCAACGGACGCATTTAAAGGACTACAATTTTTTGTCGTTTCGCTCTCAGTTACGGCGTTAAGGAAAAATTTCCATTGTTTTCACCAAATTCAACTAAATATTTTTAATGGAACGATTTTTCTTAGGAAAATCAACGGATTATATTTTAACTGGCAGCGTTCCTTCAAAAATTACATACTTTTTATTTTGAGTGTAGTAAACGTTCAAATGCTGACAGCTGATTTCTTCCAAAAGTTAGGAAATTTCGCGGACGGTCGGGCAAGGCTTATATGCGAAATTTTAATTGAATTCAAAATGGTCAAAAATGTAAAACAGGTCCGCTAAAAAATGCAGTTCTTGAGGCCTGATATATCCCATAAGTTGATCAATCCGTGCCATAGTCGAAATAAGCTCATACATAAAATTTCATCAAAATCGGTTCCGACAATCGGTTGCTAAAAACAGGTTGCTAAAAATAGTTTATTTACACTTCCCTGCCATGGAAAAGTGTATTCCCATCGAAAACTCGACATGGAAAATTTGTTGCCATCACATCACATGTAATACACAATCTATTCTATCAATAATATATAAATGCAACGTACTGGAAAATCATGAATTCATAATTTGTGAGATTAATTATCAAAAATTATTTGAGGGTAAGTTGTTGATTGTAACAACAAGGTAGCAATGCACCTCGATCCATTATTTTAATAAAAATTTTAATACAAATTTTATAATATTCTGCACGTAAAATAAAATCTTTGTATTGTACTTCTTTCTATACATTAAAGATATAACGTGCAATTTCAATAAAATTTTTCAGTAAGTATCGTTAGTTCAATTACATACATATTTTGAAAGCTAAATTTTTTTTTTCATTTTTTTTATTGGTTAAAATAAGTAAAATTAAAGTTTTCATGATTAGTACGAAAAACTAGAAAAATAATTACGAGTACATACGAGTACTAATAAATAATTACGTTTTAAAAAATAATAACTCAGAAATTACTGTATAACAAATTTCTGTAAAATTACAGAGTAAACTAATTTAGAATATTATCATAAAAGGAATCTTTCCTTTCTTAAGCAAATTCACGCAGATGATTTTAGCATCACAATTTACAAATTTTTTTGTACAGCTTTCATAACATTAATTTATTGCTTTCTGCTCATATGTTAAAACTGTTCTCATAATATATATGAAAAATAGAGGAGTCTTTTTCGATGTATGACTCTTTTGGAAAGAATCTGACAACCTAAAACGCATATGAAATCAAAGTCTATAAAAAAAAATTTCAAATTAAAAAAAAAATAAATATTTCAAATTTGAATTGCAAAAGTCAACGGTTTTTTTTTTATAGTATAAATGTTCATTTAAAAAAGAAGAAATCATAATTAAATGGCAAAATAACTCCGAAAACATAAAATATATCTTTTATATTCGTTTGACCTACCTGGCGTGCTTGTGTTCAGTTTTGGCTGCACATAATAGGTTGCACAAGTAAATGGAACGTAGGTGTTATTGCGAT